TGAAGCGATGTGGAAAAATTTGAAAGGCTCTGGAAGGATCTGAAAGGTGAAAAATTCTTAGAGAAATTAAGAGAATCGAAACAATTCTGGAGGAATCTGGAAGAATTTGAAACAATTTTGAGCATTCCTGATGGTGTTTTTGATAGAATCTTAAAAAATTTGCAAGAATTGGAAACAATCCGGAAAAGCATCCGGAATATTCAGAAAGAATAAAAAAAAAATCAAAAAATCTGAAAGAGAGAATCAGAAAGAAAATGAAAGAGTCTGAAAGCGTTTGGAAGAATCTGGAGGACTTTGAGGGGATCTGGGAGAAATTACGAGACCGGAAAGAATCTGAGGGAATCTAAGAAAATCCGAGGGAACATGAAACTAAGAATCGGAAAGAATTAGAAAGAATCAGAGGGGATCGGAAAGAATCTCAGGAAATTTAGACGAATCTAGGTAAACCTGGAAGAATTTGAGAGAATCTAGAAAAATTTAGAAGAATCTGAACGATTTTGCAGGACTCTGAAGCGATGTGGAAAAATTTGAAAGGATCTGGAAGGATCTGAAAGGTGAAAAATTCTTAGAGAATTTGAGAGAATCGAAAAAATTCTAGAGTAATCAGGAAGAATTTGAAAGAATCTTGGGTATTCCTGACGGTGTCTTTGATAGAATCTTAAAAAAAATTGAAAGAATTGGAAACAATCCGGAAGCACCGGAAAGCATCCGGAATAATCAGAAATAATTAAAAAAAAAAATCAAAAAATCTGAAAGAGAGAACCAGAAAGAAAATGAAAGCATTTTAAACAATCTGGAGGACTTTAAGGGGATCTGGCAGAAATTGCGAGATCGGAAAGAATCTGAGAGATTCGGAAAATATTTGAATGAATTTGAGAAAACCTGTGAGAATTTGAGAGAATCTCGAAGACTCTAGAAAAATCTGAAAGAATTTGGAAAGCTCTGCAAGTGTCTCCACGGTTATAAAACGACCCGAATAGAATTCAAAAGTTCGAAAGCATACAAAAGCATCCAGAATTATCCGAAAGAATCAGAGGGAATATGAAACTAAGAATCGGAAAGAATTAGAAAGAATCAGAGGGGATCGGAAAGAATCTCAGGAAATTTAGACGAATCTAGGTAAACCTGGAAGAATTTGAGAGAATCTAGAAAAATTTAGAAGAATCTGAACGATTTTGCAGGACTCTGAAGCGATGTGGAAAAATTTGAAAGGCTCTGGAAGGATCTGAAAGGTGAAAAATTCTTAGAGAATTTGAGAGAATCGAAAAAATTCTGGAGGAATCTGGAAGAATTTCAATGAATTTTGAGCATTCCTGACGGTGTTTTTGATAGAATCTTAAAAAATTTGTAAGAATTGGAAACAATCCGGAAAATCATCCGGAATAATCACAAAGAATAAAAAAAAAAAATCAAAAAATCCGGAAGAGAGAATCAGAAAGAAAATGAAAGAATCTGAAAGCATTTGGAAGAATCTGGAGGACTTTGAGAGGATCTGAGAGAAATTGCGAGACCGGAAGGAATCTGAAGGAAACTAAGAAAATCTAAGGGAATATGAAACTAAGAATCGGAAAGAATCTCAGGAAATTTAGACGAATCTAGGTAAACTTGGAAGGATTTGAGAGAATCTAGAAAAATGTAGAAGAAACTGAATGATTTTGCAGCACTCTGAAGCGATGCGGAAAAATTTAAAAGGATCTGGAAGGATCTGAAAATTCTTAGAGAATTTGAGAGAATCGAAAAAATTCTGGAGGAATCTGGAACAATTTGAAAGAATTTTGAACATTCCTGACGGTGTTTTTGATAGAATCTTAAAAAATTTGCAAGAATTGGAAACAATCCGGAAAAGCATCCGGAATAATCAGAAAGAAAAAAAGATCAAAAAAATGAGAATCAGAAAGAAATTGAAAGAATCTGAAAGCATTTGAAAGAAGCTGGAGGAATTTGAGGGAATCTTAGAGAGATTGCGAACTCGGCAAGAATCTGAGAGATTCGGAAAGTATTTGAAGGAATTTGAGGAAACCTGTGGGAATTTGTGAGAATACGAAGAATCTAGAAAAATCTTGAAAACTCAACAGGGATCTGCAAGTATCTCCATGGTTATAAAACGACCTGAATAGAATTCAAAAGTTGGAAAGAATCGTGAGGATTCCTGGAAGAATCTGTGAGAATTTGAGAGAATCTAGAAAAATGTAGAAGAAACTGAACGACTTTGCAGGACTCTGAAGCGATGCGGAAAAGTTTGAAAGGATCTGAAAGGTGTAAAATTCTTGGAGAATTTGAGAGAATCGGCAAAAATTCTGGAGGAATCTGGAACAATTTGTAAGAATCTTGAGTATTCCTGACGGTGTTTTTGATAGAATCTTAAAAAATTTGGAAGAATTGGAAACAATTCGGAGAAGCATCTGGAATAATCACAAAGAACCAAAAAAAAAGAAGAATTTGGAAAAGTCTGAAAGTGTTTGCACGGTTTTAAAACGACCTGAATAGAATTCAAAATTTCGAAAGAATCGTGAGGATTCTAAACGGTGTCTTTGAAAGAATCTGAAAAAAAGCATAAAAAAGCATCCGAAAAAATCTGAAAGAATCTGGAAGGAAAAATCTTCAAAAAAAGGAAAGAATCTGAAAACATCTGAAAGAATCAGGAAGAACCGGAGGGAATCCAGGAAAATCTGTGGGAATCGGAAAGAATCTCAGGAAATCTAGACGAATTTAGGTAAATCTGGAAGAATCTGCGAGAATTGGAGAGAATCTAGAAAAATGTAGAAAAATCTGAACGATTTTGCATGACTCTGAAGCGATGTGGAAAAATTTGGAAGGATCTGGAAGAATTTGAAAGGTGAAAAATTCTTAGAGAATTTGAGAAAATCGAAAAAATCTGAAAGAATCTGGGCGAATTTTGAAGGATTTAGAACAATCAAAGAGAATCTGAAAAAAGCTGGAGGAATCTGAAAGAACTTGGAAGAATCTGCAGGGATTTGAAACGATCTGAATAATTTGACAGAATCTTAAAAAAATTGGAAGAATTGGAAATAGTCCGGAACGATCGCAAAGCATCCGGAACAATCAGAAAGAATAGAAAAAAATTCAAAAAATCTGAAAGAGAGAATCAGAAACAAATGAAAGAATTTGGAGGGATTTGAGGGGATCTGACAGAAATTGCGAGATTGGAAAAAATCTGAGGGACTCCGGAAGTATTTGAGGGAATTTGGGGAAAGCTGTGGGAATTCGTGAGAATCTCGAAGAATCTGGTAGAATTTGGAAAAGTCTGAAAGTATCTGCACGGTTTTAAAACGACCTGAATAGAATTCAAAAGTTCGAAAGAATCGTGGGGATTCTAGACGGGTCTTTGAAAAAATCTGGAGGAATCAAAAAAATGTCAAAAAACTGGAAGAATCTGGAACAGTCTACAGAAAGGATCCAAAGCGATCTTGAAAAATTCTGAGGAAATTTGAGGGAATCCTCGGGGATATTGTGAGAATCTGAAAGAACAGAAAAAAATCTATATCAAAGTGTATTTTTTCTAGAAAATTTCGTATTAATTTTCCAACATATTCATACTAAAATTTATGGAAAACATGTTTCTAAAATTTCATGTCAACTATTTTTTGATATTTAGATATTGGAGCATCTTGCCTCATCAACTTCTCAACTGAGCCGCCCCTGGCCGCCGGGACTTTCCTTTACATTATCAACACTGACTTGTACTAATTTCTCTCTAATGTAGTTGTGAAGGTTTCCTTCAAGTGCATATAATATCCAACTTGTCTAACTTGCAAACTCTAATGCAAAACTGCACTCCAACTAGCAAACTTGTGAGACGATTTATGCCGTGCTCCTTTGAAGAGGTTTTTGCCTGCGTTAACTAAACATGAGCCAAATTCGCAATTACGGTTCAATTCAAGGTCTCGCTTTCCGTTTGTGTGATTACGACCCCCTTTGTTCGCAAGCGTCCTTGAAACGTCTACGCTTCGTCTCGATTAATTTTTGTTGAGTTTCCACGGCAAAAATTGCATTAAGAGAAAGGTGGTAGGCGTAGCGGGCCCTCGAAACTTACTAAGGATGTGTGATTCGTCCGGCGAATTTATCATGGCGGACGTCTGAAGCTTCCTTTTCCTTTTTCAGGCACTTAAAGCGCGCCGTAATATCATTTATCTAGCGGCTCATAAAGCAGACGAGAGCTTGTTTGTATGTATCGACGAACAGTTGCACAAATGGCGCAGTCGGTGGGATTTGCTCGGCGCGACATACTCGAAGTTTAATACCGTCAAAGGACACGGGAGCTTTTTATAGTGACGTGCGGGTCTTAATGCAAACCCAATATACTGACTTTAATATTACATCCCGTGGAAAGTTTTGGAGTGTTTGGGGCCGAAATGCGAGACGCGGTATAAAAACTGAAGTTGGAAGTCATTTTTTATACGGAAGTGGACACTACGATATCCGGGAAGTAATTTCAGTCACCATCAATTCAGGCTAGGTTTTCAGCGACCAAAGATTAAACCAGCAAATCGTCTTCGGACGTTCTGTAAAAAATTGCCGGTCGTTTTTACGAGGGTCGATTTTAGCATTCATCAATTATTTAATTTTAAAAGTTGGGAGTGCTGAAAAGTCGAGGAAGCAATTAGAGGCGGGCGGATGGAACGTCGTGCTTAAGATTTCACGGGCAAGAATGTGAAAAATCAGCACTTTTCAGTGCTTTTTTTTCGGGCGAGTGTTTGAACACGGCGTAAAAAATAGAAGGTCATTTTCCCGTGCGGTTTTTACGGTGGAAAGTCGATTTTTCTGTTAAATGAGCTGCCATTTAAACCTTTTTAACAATTCCTAAAGCGACTGGAACTCATACAAATGATATTATCCTTTACGGTGAAAAATGCGGAGGTTGGTAATATGTGATGAAAAATTTCCTTTGAGATTAACTCAAACAAAGCGACGCCATCTACATAACAACGCAGCAAGATATTGAGCTAGGGACCGGTTTCGTCGCCTCATGAAAACACCCCTAGTAAAAATACATTTATTTAAACAAACATACACTAGAAGCAGCGTAGGTAAAGTACATCGATGATTGGCTGTCGCAAACGAAACCTTACTTACACTTACGGATCTAGAACGCTTGTACGTACGTGGCAACTCCTCACACCACTTACGTACAGGGGTTATTTACAAATTTGTTCCGCCTCCCCGGACGAAACTCGAAACAAACAAACAAACACGTTTTGGCACATAAAAATTATAACTCGTTTCGTCCGGGGGCGTTTTGATCTTATATTACGACAACTAGATATTTATTCTAAGGCATGTTGGTCCTTGTCATGAAAGCAATTAAGGCATATACCGTCTGTGCGGGTCGTTGATCACTTTGGTCATTCGTCCCAGAGACATTGCTGTTTTTGCGCCACGTAATATGCGAACATATGACACTTTCTGCACGTTTTAATGCCGCAGCGGTACGTCATGCCGTTTTTAGCTTGACTTTTACCCTTGCAATATTTCAGCCCGCAAGGGTACCAACCTATGCACAACTCTAAATGACACTGACAAGGCGAACGCATTTTTTTCATGTTGGTGCAACTGGACACGCTCGGACGGGGCTTGTCTTCGACGCTGTTGCCCGTGAAGTGGTCCACCGACGACGGGAACTTCTTCAGGGCGGTGAGGTACGTCGTCTCGGGGATTCCTGCAAAAAGAAAACAACTTTAGTAGGCTTTGAGATTTTTTCTTTAAGTTGGATAAACTTATTTGATGATTTAGTTTTTTGTCTGTCAGTAGTCTTTACTGCTGGATTGCCACTTTTCTACTTCATTTATTAGATCAGATTTATTAGACGCAATTTTTTCATCAAGCAAACAAATGTTTTAATTTTGTCAGCATAGACAATTTATCTTTGTGACTTATTTAAAAAGAAAACCGTTGGAATTTAAAGGGGGGTGAACCACATTATACAAAATTCTTAAGTCAATGGGTTATAAATACAGGGAAGTAAATGGTCGCAAAATTCTATGTGAACAAAAACATGTCGTTGCAGCCAAAAATTCCAAGAAACTTCAGAAACTCGGGAAATTCAAGAAACCTCAGAAATCAAAAACCTCAAGGAACCCAAGAAATTCGACAAATCCGACAAAATCAAAAATTTAGAGAATCCAAAATTCTGAAGATTACCAATACTCTAGAACCCCACGAAAGCCAAGAAATTCAAAGTTCTTGGAATTATACACATTCTGAAAAATCGAAAATTTTGAACTCCCAAGAAACTCGAGAAACCTCACATACTTAAGAAATTCTAGAAATCTCAGAAACCCTCAGATAACTTAAGAAATTCAAGAAATTCAAAAAACTCAAGAAATCAAGAGATCCAAGAATCCAAGATCCTGGAAACTATAAATATTCTTAAAAAAAAAAAAACAAAAATTTAGAACAAAACTTAAATATCTCAAGAAACTCAAGACCAAGAGACTTAAGCAAAGCAAGAAATCCAAGAAATTCAAACTTCTTAAAACATAAAAATTTTGGAAAATAAAAAAATTTTAACTCCTAAGAAACTTAAGACTCTCGAGAAATTCAAGAAGCCTCAGAAACGCAGATAACCCAGGAAATCCAAAAAGTCTCAGAAGACCAAGAACCCAAGAAGTCCAAGAAACAACGAAACTCAAGAAACTCCGAAAATTCAAAAACTCAAGGCGCCCAAGAACTCCGTGAACTTCAGAAATTCAGAAAATTGAAATCTGTAAATTATTATCAATATTCTAAAAATCAAAAATTTGGAACAAAAGTTTAAAACCTCAAGAATCTTAAGCGCACAAAAGTCTAAGAAATTCAAAATTCTTAAATATATAAACATTCTGAAAAATAAGAAATTTTGCACTCCCAAGAAACATAAGAAACTTGAGAAATTCAAGAAACCTCAGAAACCCGGATAATCCTAGAAATCCAAGAAATCTCAGAAGCCCAAGAAACGAAGAAATTCCGGAAATAAAAAAAAACTCAAGAAACCCTAGATATTCGAAAAACCCAAGGAAATTTTAAAAGTCCAAAATTCCGAAGATTACGAATATTCTAAAACCTCAAGAAACCCAAGGCCAAGAAACTTAAGAAATCCAACAAATTCAAAATTTTTGAAATTATACACATTCTGAAAAATCAAAGATTTTCAACTCTCAAGAAACTCAAGACATTTAAGAAAGTCAAAAACCTCAAAGAACCCAAGAAATTCTACAAATCCGACAAAATAAAAAATTTAGAGAATCCAAAATTCTGAAGATTACCAACACTCTAGAACCCCCCGAAAGCCAAGTCCAACAAACTTAAGAAAACCAAGAAATTCAAAGTTCTTGGAATTATATACATTCCAAAAAATCGAAAATTTTGAACTCCCAAGAAACTCAAGAAACCTCACATACTCAGATAACTTAAGAAATTCTAGAAATCTCAGAAACCCGAAAACCCAAGAAATTCTAGAAAATTAAGAAAACCAAAAAATCCAAGAAATTCAAAAAACTCAAGAAATCAAGAGATCCAAGAATCCAAGAACCTGGAAACTATAAATATTCTTAAAAAAAAAAAAACAAAAATTTGGAACAAAATTTTAATATCTTAAGAAACTCATGACCAAGAAACTTAAGCAAAGCAAAAAATCCAAGAAATTCAAACTTCTTAAAACATATAAACATTTTGGAAAATAAAAAAAATTTAACTCCTCAGAAACTTAAGAAACTCGAGAAATTCAAGAAGCCTCAGAAACGCAGGTAACCCAGGAAATCCACAAAGTCTCAGAAGACCAAGAACCCAAGAAGTCCGAGAAAGCAAGGAAAGCCAAAAAGACAACGAAACTCAAGAAACTCCGAAAATTCAAAAACACAAGAAGCTCAAGAACTCCGTGAACTTCAGAAATTCTAGGAATACAAGAAATTCAGAAAATCGAAATCTGTAAATTATTATCAATATTCTAAAAATCAAAAATTTGGAACAAAATTTTAAAACCTCAAGAATCTTAAGCACACTAAAAAATCTAAGAAATTCAAAATTCTTAAATATATAAAAATTCTGAAAAATAAAAAAATTTGCACTCCCAAGAAACATAAGAAACTTGAGAAATTCAAGAAACCTCAGAAACCCGGATAATCCTAGAAATCCAAGAAATCTCAGAAGCACAAGAAACCAAGAAATCCCGGAAATAAAAAAAAAACTCAAGAAACCTCAGAAATTCCAAAAACCCAAGGAAATTCAAAAATTTAGAAAGTCCAAAATTCCGAAGATTACGAATATTCTAAAACCTCAAGAAACCCAAGGCCAAGAAACTTAACAAATCCAACAAATTCAAAATTTTTGAAATTATACACATTCTGAAAAATCAAAAATTTTGAACTTTCAAGAAACTCAAGACATTTAAGAAAGTCAAAAAATTCAAGAAATCTCAGAAACCCAACGGCCCAAGGAGTTCGAAAAAATTAAAAAATCCAGTGGAACAACGAAACCCAAAAAATCCAAGGAATTGAAAAAACTCAAGGAATCCATGATTCTGAAAACTATAAAAAGAATTTGGAACCAAATTTTAGTATCTCAAGAAACTCAAGATCAAGAAACTTAAGCAAACCAAGAAATCCAAGAAATTCAAATTTCTTAGAACATATGAACATTCCGGAAAATCAAAAATTTTGAACTCCCAAGTAACTTAAAAAACCCGAGAAATTCAAGAAGCGCTAGAAACTCGGATAACCCAAGAAATCGAAAAATTCTCAGAAGCCCAAGAACCCAAGAAGTCTAAGAAAGCCAGGAAATCCAAAAAGACAACGCAACTGAAGAAACCCCGAAAATTCAGAAACTCGAGAAGCCCAAGAACTCCAAGAACCCAAGAAAATCGAGGAATCCAACAAATTCAAGAAATCCAAATTTCTGAAAATTATCAATACTAAAAATCATAATTTTGGAACAAAATTTTAAAGCCTCAAAACCAAGAAACTTAGCCTCACATACTCAGATAATCCTAGAAATTTACGAAATCTTGGAAATCTAAGAGCTCAAGAAGTATAAGAAAACCCAGAAATCCAGTGGCACAAGAAATCCCAAGAAAGTCAAAATAAAAAAACCAAGAAGACCAAGAGGTCCAAGGAACCAAGAAATCCAAGGAATTCAAGAAGATTATAAACATTCTAAGAAAATAAAAATGTGGAACAAAATTTTAAAACCTCAAGAACCTTAAGCATACCAAAAAATCTAATAAATTCAAAATTCTTACACATACAAAAATTCTGAAAATACAAAAAATTTTGCACTCCCAAGAAACTTTAATAATCCAAGAAATTCAAGAAATTTCAGAAACCCAAGAGCCCAAGAAGTTCGAGAAAATTAAAAAATCCAGTGAAACAACAAAACCCAAAAAATCCAAGAAATTCAAAAAACTGAAGAAACCCTAGAGATCCAAGGATAAAAAATTTACACCTCAAGAAACCTCAGACCAAGAATCTTAAGAAATTCAAAATTGTGAAAAATATAAACATTAATTAAATTTTGAACTCTCAAGAAACTTAAAATACTATTTAAACTTAGTAATAGCTATATAGATAAATTATTCAATTAAAGGCCGGAAAAATGTTTCAGAAGAGTTGAACCCATCAAAGCACAAGAGCAAGGTTGTTGTTTTTTACCAACCCTTTTAGTAATCTTAGAAAAGTGAAAAAAGAACTTGGAGGATATGGAAATAGGCTGTTCACAAAGGTCGAAATTTTCATTTCTAAGAAGAGTGGGTGAGCAGAACGAACTGATGATTGAGAATTAAAGACGAGATGCTAAAGGTGGCATGCGACAATAGACGTATGCTGAACCCCCATTCACATAAAAACAAAGTTTAAGGGAAATTTTAGTGTTTGTTCCTTACATATGAAATAAACACTTACAAAAAGCCGAATAACTGTTTTAATAGCGTAAAGTTTTATATGGACACCGTTAACTTGGTCATTGCTACTGAAAACTGAAAGTATCGGCAACAATGTTTATATTTCTGGCATATTTTTTAACCTTTAATTTAATAAAACATAACCTAACGAAAAAAAGTTCAGGGAATTTTTATTCTTCTGCATCGAATACCAACAAACTCACTAGATTTTCATGGCCAACCCTACTACATAAATATCGTGAACGGATAATACAGATGTAGCTACGTATTTACGGTCCTCTCTAATTAACAACATAAGCCGTCATCATCAACCCTCATCTCCGTTTAACGAACCCCTTCATCCCTACACCTGATGGAAAAAGCCCATCCGTTCGATCCAATTAAACCCAATGCACAAATTGTTTACGTAACGCTCAACCGTTAAATGAAAAACACCCCTCTTTAAAAATTTACGAGGTGCACTTGCGGCCTCGCCATTAAAATGAAATGTGCTGCTCATTAATTTTCGCGCTTGACCAGATTTGGCCGTTTCGATCAATATGCCACGGTATTTAAACTTGTAGACCCATTGTGTGGCTAGGAACGGCAAAAATGTCCCACTAACTGGACTCCCTTGCAGTACGAGTGGGCGTGGCGATAAATTTCGTGATCGGTCCGGGGTCAGACAGGGTGTGTATCAATGGAAGGCCTTATTATTTATGAGAGACCTTTTCGCAGTTTTGCATATTCCGTGATGGCCCTATGGCGGAGCTCGGCTCGGGCCGCTCGTAAATCATCTAATTACCCCG